GTTATCCGTTATTCGTTTTTGAAGCCATTATCCGTGCCTTTCCGAATAAGGTATTCGGCTTCGGGCACACCCCTACTAGTAACCTACATAGAGCACAAGATGTGTAGTGTTAGCAAATTGCAGAGATCTTTAAGATTTGTTTGCACAACTGTTTTCAACATTGATAATAAGGAGAAATATTGCTTGAGCAAATCAGTATAATCAACACTGAAGACTGAAGTAATGGCTGCTGAAAATTTGGCTTTGCCACCACAGAAATAAATATCAAAATATTTAGAATATTTCAAAATATTAATTACTGAAATATTAATTACACACAACTACACAACTGTAAATGGTCTTTAATGCCAAGTTCACACTGCACTGATTTTAGCCCTGCTTTTCACTCGCCGACAGGTTTTGCGAAATTGCCGACAAATGCCCGAAATTGGAGGCAACTCGGTGCTCATTTACGCGAGTGACAGTCACGCAGTGTAAATGATCAAAGATGCAATCTGAGAGTATCGCAGGCATGCTAAATATCTGGACCTGTCAGAGATTCAAAATCCTGCTGTGTGAAATGAGTTCTGACTGAAAAATACACCAGCGATGACCTACAGAGAGCAAGATACAAGGCAGCAGGAAGTTATATGAAACATAGTTTGAAACATATTCATATAGAAAAAAGTGATTTTAAATTGAAAAACAGGCTATTTCACAATATTGCTGTTTTGACTGCATTTTTGTAAATGCTGCAAAATAAATGCAGCCTTGCTGAGTATAAGAGACATCTTTAAAAAACATAAAAATTGTACTGACCACAAACTTTTGAATGGTATTGTGTATGTTTGTGATTTCTGGAGTGTGAGTAAAAAACTGGATTGAGTGATCTGTTTCTTTAAGACAATTTGCATGTGTTTTCTTAAGTTGCAGCGCGTTGAGCTCTCTCGGCCACCGTAGTATCCAGCTCCGAGTCATAACTAATTTCAATAAACAAAGTCAGACCTTGTGACATCAGCATTCAGTCATTGTCGTTGTAATGTACAATACATCCTGTAAAATCACTATGACTCTTCATACTTGAAGAGCAGCTAGAAATTTCTCAGTTCAGCAGTAGTCATTGTGGCACGTTTGTTGTGGGGGCCGAGTCTGTCAGTAGGGTGCTTGTGTGTGTGCGTATAAACTTGAGAGTTAAATTGGCAGAGACACTCTTATCCCGGGTTATTGATTAAGGCTGGCACAGTGGAACGCCAAGGGACAGTTTTAGTGATCAAGGCTGTGGATCAGCAATATCCAGGAATGCGGGCAGTAATGAGGGATGGATGTCCTCTCCAGACTCCTGGCATCATCAGTCTAGGCTCTTTGAGATAAAGTGCAAACCAGAGTGCCAAATGAAACCTGCTACTGTCCTTTATGTAAAATTAGATTTTTTTGGCTGATATGAATGTTTAAAATCTGCTGTATGCAAGCTATTAAGATTTTATTGCAAATTACATTTTCCCCCCTGGTCACAGTTCAAACTTTTGGACTCAGGGCCTCATAAGATGTACATAAAACACCTACATGTGGATGTTTGATAATTTCCCAAATGTTCCTTTGAACGATTTATAAAAAGTCTGTACAGTATATCTACACTACCGTTAAAAAGTTTGGAGATTTCTTGTGTCTTTGAAAGTTTTGAAAGGCCCCAGGTGTCAGGTACTCTAATAAACTGTCAAGCACTCTACCTTGCAACTCATAAATAACTATTCTCTGTTATTTATATAGCAGGCTGAAAACATGCATTAGCACTGCATAGAACACCGAAAAGGGGCAAGGGACACAACAGTTGGATGAAATAGGCTGTCTGTTACAGTCATACACATTTCATATTGAAAAATTTGAGTCTGATCATGAATTGGTCTGAAGAAGTTTGTACCATTGAATATGTGCGAGTAGAGAAATAGAATAGTAAGTCCTTGAGGAAGGAAAAGATGCTCCTGTTTTTCTTCAAATGGGAGCACTCAAGGATAGATGCAACTGAATACAAAAAAGTATTGATTTCGTAAGCAAACCACAACGCTTGTCACAGCAAACTGTCTGTCTCATTCTCATTCTCTGATCTCTTCTCTTTCTATTTCATATCACTTGAATTAATTTGTAGAACATACAATACTCCTGTTCCCAAGTTTTAGGGTTAAGATTTTTGTAAAAATGTTTTTGAAAGAAGTGTCTTATGCTCATCAAGTCTTCACCAGTGATACATGATCCATTAGAAATCTTAGTAATATCTGATTTGGTGCTCAAGAAATTTTTTTTTTTATTCTTGTGACTTGTTGACTCTTACTCTTATGTGGAAACTGTGATACATTTGTCAGGACTTTTGTAACAATGTAAATATCAAAATAATAAATAAAATAATTTTTGTAACAATCTAAATATCTTTACTATCACATTTTTCATCAATTTAATTCATCTTTGTTGAATAAAAGTATTATTATTTTTTTTTAATCTAACTTTTTAATGGTAATGTGTATTTATATATAATTGTGAATATTACATTTGACGTGCTGTTTTAGGCAGCATACAGTAAGTGCTTCTCAAAAGGTTTTCCTTCACGACTTGCACAGATATTATTTGAACTGAACTGAGCTGGCTGATGTCAGTCAATGATGAACTGACTTTAACTGAAAACTTGAGTGTTTACTATTGCCTTCTTGCATTATCAACACACTATTTTCCTGTTTAATAATGTAAAGCTGCTTTAACACAATCTGTATAAATAAAGATGACTTGACTTGATGACTTTTACATAGGACATTTGATGGCAACCCAATACAAACCAAAATTATTTATTGTAAGTCAACAAAATTACCTTTACCTTTCTTAACACTAAAATGTAGTGTCACCATAATTTTGGCTAACAAATTCTAGTTTTGTTCCATGATATGGGCAGAATAGAAAACCACTTTTTACATTTTTAATTGTTTGAGTGTTTGGTTTCAAAATGTTTTCAAAATGATTTAATTATCATAGTTTTCCGTGTTATGATGGTTCCCTGGAGCCAGTAGTTCACTGCACAGAATAAATTGTGGTGAACACAACCATATTCATCCTCCTTGCAAATGAAGCTGTATTTGATGTAGTCTGGGTCAAGGTTAGATTGGATGCACAACCATTAATGTCAGCAACAAAAGATATGTGAAGCATTTTCACCTCCCTTTTAGAAGTTGATAACTATGTGTGATTATATAATAAGATGCATTAAGTATTGTTTTTGTGCTGTTGTCTGAGACCATATCAGACCCATTTTAAGGTTACAACCCACTGCTCTGTGGATCCATCCCTATTTTCTCTCATGCTGAACTTTTGAAGGGTTGTGTTCCGAATGTCTTTAAAAATGTTGATGATTTTATTTCTCTCAGTAAGTCACCAGCTAGACACCGGGGGGCAAAGATATACAATGCATGGTGTTTCAGAGTGTTGTTTTTATAGCAATAGCAGCACTGGGAGATGTGGAGCGAATTGGATAGAGGCAGGAAGAGGAGAGAGAAAGGAAGCTTGTTGACAGAGATTGGAGTTATTGCGATGTAGGTTTGATTAAGGAGAATGTCTAAAATTAGTAAGCAGAAAAGGGCATGTTTTCAAAGAGAAGGTGCACGACTAGCTGAATGAGAGAGAGAGAGCGAGAGAGAGAGAGTGAGAGTTTGTTACCCTAGGGTATGTAGCATTTCATATTAGACATGGCTGGCTGGTGAGGTCTTAGCGATGCAGTCCTGCAGCTGCTATTCTCTCTTTCCCAGAGTGCCTGCTGCCCACACACTGACCTGAACATGCACATTACATCAGTTCATATCAACTACATGATGTGACTAATGATTGCACAACTATTTTATACCACTATAGCACTACATGCCACTATTTGCTTATTTTCATTTATAAAAATAAATGAGTAACATTGGCTGTATCCAAAACTGAAGCTAGCTGCTTTCCCAGACTTCAAAGGTAGCGTTTTAATACGAAATATCTCCTAAGGTTTCAGACAGGCTTCCAAGACACCATAACATCATTCAAAATGATCTTAAAAAATCATGTGAGCTTAACAAGCAAACATTTAGTGACTAATATGCTAATTTGTGAGTAGAAGTCAAGAATTTCAATTGCATAAATAAGACTATGAGACTGGTTCAGGGTAATTATAGTTAACTAAAACCCCCAAAAAGTGTTACTTGAAATTGTATTAAATTCAGCTAGAAATGTAAAGCAGCATTTATTATTTTTATTTAGTAACTTACTAATACTAAAATAACTAATCTCAGAATAAAAATTAGTGAAAACTATATAGACTTTAAAAAAACAATAACCAACAAAAATGACACACACAACAAAATTACTAAAACTTTAATTAAAATTTAAATTAAAAAGGAAAACTAATTCAAAACATTAAAATAACTGTTTTTTTAATAAAATGTTGACAAAAAGCAATAAAAGTGACAAACACACACAACAAAATTACTAAAACTTTAACTAAAATTAAAATGAAAAAGGAAAATGTATTCAAAATATTAAAAAATATTTGTTTTTTAAATAAAATATTGAATATTGAGATATGAATTGTTATAAAAGAATACATGTATGAAACTAAAACCACCAGTACGTGGTGGCAAGTCTGTATCTTAATGAGTCATTATTTTAGTTAACTAAAACTAATACCAAACCAAAAAACCCTCAAACATATTTCAGTTTTAACTAAACTTAAAATGAAAGTGCAAAATATAAAAATAAAAGCTATTAATTAATTATAAAAACTATAATCTCAATGATACTAAATATACATGCCTGATTATGAATGAATTAGTTCAAAAACAGATTCATTTAGGAACAAAACTCTGATTTTGTGTGTTGTTCTGAGATGGAGTGAAGGATACATATGAAAAGATATGATTACAAGTCAAACAAATGAAGCCATCTATGATGCAAACATAACAGATTTTACACGCCATGTAGACACACCCCCTTTTGTTTTATTTTCTCTTTTGCAGTCAATCTGTTGTAAAGGTGTTGTGCCAGCGGTCGGAGCGGTACGCGCAGGAGCCTGGAGCTCACTGGAGGAGCAGGCGTACATGCTTCTGACAGAGACAGAGAGACAGACCATGAGCTATTACATTCAAGAGTACCTGCGCGCACACATCGGTGTAGAGCCTCTGGCCATGGCCCTGTTTGAACTCTTCAACACACATGCCAAGGTGAAATGATTGATAACAATCCATAATGCATGTTTGTAATGTAATGCAAAATGTCACTGACAAATCTTTATTTGATGGTCAGCATTCTAGTCAAATGAAAAATGTATCATACTTTGGATGATTTCAGGTGTTTCTTTTAATGATCTCTTGGCTGTTCCTGCTCCCCAGCTGTCCTTGCTGGCTGAGGTGCGGACTCTGATCGCCCCGCAGGATCTGGAGCGATTCGACAAGCAGGTGTTACATCGCGAGATGGAAGCGTGGAGAGCTCGGCACAGAGGCCCGGGCCTCCTGCACCCTGACTCTATCTGCGTCACCCATTCAGAGGGCCACATTCCTGCTGCCTGCCAGCTGACCACTGCAGTCCCCGGCTACAACAAGGCATGTGGATGTGTGCGCATCAATTGGCGTAATGCAGTGCTGTGAATATTAGTATACACTGGTGGACAGTGGTGCCCTGTTTAAATATTTACTCTGCTAATATTATAAGTACTTATATAAAAGTACAAAAGTAATTGCTTTTGAATATTTTATTTTGCTGAACAAAACAATAATATTGTGATATATTATTACAATAAGGTTCTTTCAGGATTCTTTGTGGAATAGAAAATTCAAAAGAACAGCATTTTTTTTTTTCAATTACTAATTTCTTTAAATTTCTTAAAAACATATCCAACTGACCTATCCAGGTCTGATGTATAAAAACTATAGTTACATATTTATATGCATATATACTGTACATATTTATTTATAAAATCAAACTAAAAAAGACAAAAATTTAAAAAAGATAAAGACTCAAAAAAGAAAAACGAGAGAAGGAAATAACACTAAAACCAATGTTTACACTACCATTCAAATGTTAGGGTTTGAAAAGATTTTTAAATGTTTTTGAAAGAAGTCAAAATACAAATAAAAACAGTAATATTGTGAAATAGTATTACAATTTAAAAGAAATTGATTTTTTTGGTTAATAGAAAAGGATTCAGGAAAAGGATTCTTTAATAAAAAGTTCAAAAGAATCGCATTTATTGAAACTATTTACAGAACGATTAATTTCTTTAAAACGTTTGACCCCAAATGTTTGAAAAGTAGTTTACGCATCCAACTTACAAATTTTAGTTATAGATAAATTAATTGATTCTTTCATTTATTCGTTCATAGCTTTCAATGTTCTATCCTCATAATACCTATTAGGATGGAGAGAGATCTTTATTTGTAACTTTATTCAGACTGACTTCTACTGTGCCTGCATTGGTTGGTCTGATCTGATATGTCTTGGTATTAGTATGATTTGATTCCAAACATTATTGTTAAATCTCACTCACACAAGCCGTAATTGAGCTGAACTGATGAAAAAAGAGCTGCATCTCAAGTGGAGCAAGGGTTTCTTAAACTCGAAAAAATTTTTTAATGTATTTTGTTCTGGTGTGATTGTTGCTGTGTACACTTGAGTCATTTCAGTGATTGTTTTTTTTTTTTTTTTTTTTTTTTTTTTTGCTTTGCCTTGCCTTTATAGAATGAGTGCAGGCTGGATGGGAGTTTGATGCCACTTGAGAGTCTTGATTCTCTTCCTGATGTTTCTCTGGTGAGTTGTTTACATTTTTTGCAGTGTGTCTGCATGCTGTTAGACTGGATTAAAAAAAAACATTTTATGGAGAAAAAGCAGCCAACATTAAAATGGCTTTTGTATTTTAACATTTGAATGTAACAAGAAAAGAAAGGCACATGATTTAGGACGAGGAAAACAAAATATGTATCCCTGAAATACAAAGACTGTCACAAGGAAATTGCAGGAGATTTATTTTATTTTTGGATGGATACTCAAAAATCTTTGAAGTCTCAAAGATCAATAGATCAATCTCATAATTTGAAATTTAGTAGAGGCAGTGTATATGTACAGTATGCCTCTACTTGACCTTAAAATGTAAAAATGTACAGTATATGTAGAGTGTGTATTGAAGACTAAAGACTAAGATTAAAGTGCACTAAAATCATAATTTACACTACTGTTCAAAAGTTTGGGTTTGGTAAGGTTTTTAAATATTTTTTAAGAAGTCAAGTTTAAAGTATTAATTTTTTTTAAATCTTACTGACCCCAAACTTCTGAATGGTGGTGCAATTAATTTACTATAGAATAAAAAAGAAAATATATATACCCAACATTGCAAATCTTCACATTGTATCAAATGTAATTTTACTGTACACTGCCCATAAACATGGCGTAGCTAGCATAAACCAGTCAAAAGAGCTTGTTACACTTCAGATGTTATTTTGATTTTGCCGAAATTGCATGATGACATCATAAAATATTCATAACATTAAATATCTGTTGTTAGATTCTAAATCAGAACACAGCCATCTGACAGATTTCACTTTTATCTAGTCAGTTTGCTGAAGATTGAGTTGAGTTCAATAGATTTTTATCCTAGCCTTTCTTGCTCTCATTTAATTAAGCATCAGTAGCCTAACATTAACTCTTTTAATCATAAACGATTATCTGGGATGAATCCGTAATTGACCGTCTTGTCATAAACGTGTGCTTATGCTAAATTGTTGTACGTACAGACAACTCTATCATCTGTTAATTTCATAATGTGCTGACATTTTAAAAGGAAATGTCACCTTTTAAAAGCTTTTAAATGTCAGAAAGTGTTTTTTTTCTCTCTGTGTTATCATAACCTCCCTCAATGATAATGCATCCTTTAATTGCCTGTCTTAGTAGTTGAAGGCAACAGTGAGGAGATAAATATCAACAGTACATTTATGTTTTATTTCAGGACAAGGTGCAGCCGCCATCCGAGTCACCCCCCTCGTTCAAGCCTCCCCCTCCACCTGTTCGACACGCCAGCCCTAAAAATCAGACCAAACGACCTTCGTCCAAGCTGTCCCAGACCAATCTGCTCTTTACTGCCCCCTGTAGGCGGCATCAGGAAAACCACACCCACAATCACTCGCATTCGCCCTGCTCTGCTCACACCTCCCCATGTACCATCCACCACACCGCCTCCACCTGCTCTGTCCGTCACACTCCTCCACCCTGCTCTCACCATCACAGCTCTCCACGATCATTATCATACCACGCTAGCCCTTCTTCTGGACCCCCATGTAAAGATTTGGTTCAGTTTCTGATGAGCAGGCAGGCGGCAGTGCTCTCCCCACACCTAGAGTCTCCAAATCGTTCTAGAGAGGGAACCCCCATGATCTCTCCACGCTCCTCTCCATCGATTTCGCCTTCACTGCTAATGCCTGCGCCGCCCCCCTGTAGCCCTGAGAAGCTCGAGGACTCCCCCTCTACACACAGCTGCGTGGCCGCCCAGACCAGCCCACTACACCCCGAGCCGGAGACGACAGAGGAAAGGCCTCAGCCCCAACTACGAGGTGAAGACACTCTAAGATTGTCATAATTTACTCACCCTCATGTCCTTCCAAACCTGTATGACTTTCTTCTGTGGAACACAAAAGAAGATATTTTGAAGAATGAACCATTTCGGTTACCGTTGACTTCCACTGTATAAACAAAAACACAGAGACATTGTTTTTTTCAATATTCTTTATATTATGTTCAACAAAAGAAAAAAGTAACGGAAGGTTGGAACAACATGAGGGTAAGTAAATGTTGATAGGATTTTTTATTTTTGGATAAATTTTGGAGTTAGCACTGAAATTGAAATAATTATGTGGTATATTGATTAATCAGATTAAATTCCATATATCAGTATATTCTGAGAAAAACCTCTAATTGAAGATGATTTAAAGACTGAGTAACAATCTTAGATCTTGATCTGAATGCTCTCAAATTTGAAGTAGAAGCACAACCCGTGTAGTTTTATTCACAAACAAATTAATCTTTTAAAACAAATCTTTTTAGTGAATCAAGCACATGAAGAGCAACCAGTGTAATTTGATCCATGGACAAATGACTGAATTATTCAAAAAGGCATGAAGTTTCAACTGTTAGTTTGTCAAAGTAAGTGTTAAAGTTTACTTAAGTTGGTATTCACAAAACATTTGTGGTTGTGTTGATGATTATACTGTATATAATAAATAGCAAATAAATAGTTTTGTAAGTTTCAGAATTTATATTTCTGAAATATATTAAGTTTTCTGTATTATTTACAGCATTCGTTGTGGGAGAAAATGGAAAATACACAAGCAAAATGGAAATATAACGGCATGTATCTCAGTTGAATCTGTATTGATAACAGTCCTATTGAAAATTGGCTAAAGATAAAGGTGGTACTAATATTTCTCTTTAGAGGCTTTAATTTCTCAGATGGCAGGATACCTTATTACAAATTGTACATATGATCATAGGGCATCTCATTCATCTAAAATAATCATTAATTACACTCATTTAACATACTAAATTGGCAGCCCTAGTAGGTCCATCAAAACTTCAGCACTTAGGGAATTCATCCAGCTTCTATAACTCATTTCCGATCCAAATAATGTGTGAGGTCCACATAAACTCTGAATGCAGATCTCTAATCTGTGAAAGCTAAATTGTGGGGTTATTTATGGCTTTGTGCTCATTCGTCTGTATTCCCAGGAGCCACACTGTCCCAGCTGTCAGACAGCGGACAGACTCTGAGCGAGGACAGTGGAGTGGATATCGCAGAGGCTGGGGGGCTGAGTAAGGACAGCAGCCCGCGACCAGGTAAACCTCCGTTCCTCCAGGTCACAGGTGACACACGCAGAGCGGAAGGACTCGCACAGGCCTCCGCAAAACAGGTGAGAGAGTTCTGTTGTTTAAATGAGTTATAGTCATTTCATCATATAAATAACCATTATACAGAAGTCTTTTTTTTTAGTCTTGTTTGCCCTGCTGCTGTTAAAAGGAGGTTTTGGTTTAGCTCTACATTTCATGTTAAACACTTCATTCGTGTCTTCCACCTTTCAGGCTTCTTCTTTCTTCTCGAGTGTGACGTCTAAAGTAGCTTCCCTGTTTGTCATTGTTTTAGATGAGAGGAACGGAGCCTACACTTGTACGGGTGCCTAAGTGTGCCAGTACACTGGGGATTGCTGTTGAAGGGGGTGCCAACACCAGACAGCCTCTGCCGCGCATCGCGACCATACAGGTGGGTCAGAGTGGGTCACAGTTCAAAGCCACGGCTAAGAAAGATTAGCTTTTTATGAAAGCAATCCGAGAATGCACAACACTAAAAATCTTTAGTGTTATTAAAAATCTTGTATAAATACATACACTACCATTAGAGTCAGTAAGATTTTTTAATTATTAATCTTATTCAGCAAGGATGTGTTATTTTGATCAAAAGAGAGAGTAAAGAAATGGATTGTTACAAAATATCCCTTTTAAACTTCCTATTCATTAAAGAATGAATTGATTGGCATTCTGTAGTGTTCACATATTTTTTTTCTGTAATGTGAAATGCTAGCATAAAAGTAACACAAAGTCTTTTGTTTTTTTGAATTACTATTCCCACAAAGTATCTTTTGTTCTTCTGATGGAAAGGGTAGCTAATGTACTGTGAAGGTCTGATATTACACCCATCGAAGTGCAAGATACAGTTGTAACTTATATAATGTGGTTTTAAAAAAGCTTTTAAAAGCTGTTGCCTCATAGTCACATAAATGCTTAGGTCAGTAAAAACTACTTCTCCATCATATGACTAAAATTACAACTCTGCATGAAACAATTTCAGTTTTCTTATTAAAAATTAGTCATGACACGGTTAATACTTTTGCCATTAGATAGAGCCCCTGTCTGTGCAACAAGCAGTATTAAGATGGTAGTTTAATCTTTAGTCATAACTTTACAGGAAGTTTTAAATATAAAGGAGCCAGTTTGTTTTCCTCTCATTTCTTTTATGACCTTTAGCCCAGCATCTGTTAGCTAATGGAGCGCATTAGCATATTCAGGACCCGTTTATGTACATGTCTCCATATGCTCGCTTCTCTCAGTGTTGTGTTCACTCAACATGAAGGTGAGAGATTTCCCCTTTAGCGCAAAGTGGCTTTGCACGGAAATATGTTCGCTTGCATATTTAAAGCAGATTGGGATCAAGCAGCTAGTGGTATGACTATAGCTTTAGGGGATGAAAAAGTAAGATAACTTGTATCTAATAGCGCTTATAGAGATGTCTGATACCGCTGACCAAACACAAAGTGCTGTAGCGGTGTTGCTGTATTTGTATTCTTTGTTGATTGGTAGAGTATCCTTGAAATTTGCATAGACTGTCAATTTACACAATCAGCATTTGTAAATTTCACCATTGATAGGGTCACAGGAGAACAAAGGCTGTCACAGACCCATCTGGACATGTTTCATAATTAAAGGCGCAGCTTTTTATGTCCTGAGACATCACACCTGTCTCTTTGACAGCCCTGGGCTCTTAAAAAAAGAGTTTGGGACGCAGCCCACTATTTAGCCAAACAGAAACACTCAAGTTTGGAACAGATTACAGTTAAATTTATTTTGTAATTAAATTAGGTTACACTTTATTTTAAGGTGTCCTTGTTACAGTGTAATTATACATTTAAGTACTGAGTAGTATTAATTAACTACATGTACTTACTATATGGTTAAAATTAGGGTTTAGCTTAGGGTTACTTGCATGTAATTATGCATAATTAATTGTTAGATATTAGTAAGTGCATGTAACGTGTAACAAAGACACCTTAAAATAAATGACATAATTCTGTTACATGTAACTAGTTACTCCCCAACACTGTTTACAATAATTGCATGTAAAAAAAAAATACAGTTGTATTGTGCAGTTATGATACTATATATATATAGCGATTCAGTTTACAGCAACTTCATGAATTAAAAGACAAAACACATCTTGTATTTACTGCAGTATTTTTGGGTAAGGTACATGACTATCTTGCGAGATGCGAATGCACCTAAAGCCGTAATTGCTACTTTCAAACCCCCCAAAAAACAAACTTCCCAGGAGGATTTGAACACACCATCATTTGTTGGCTGGTCTATTTGAAACAGCAACTGTGAAAAGGAAAAGCTTTTTAAAGTGCTGTTTGATACCATCAGATTATTCCTTGTCCTGAAAATGCTGACCTTCACAGAAAGGAAAAATTATTAGAAAAATAGAGATTTATTTTCTAGCTTTAAGCTAATGAATAGTAAATGGATTTGTGCTTGATTGTCCTTGATACCCTACACCAAGATAATACTAATATTTCTCCATTTATTAAAATGCCATATTCAGAGAGTGAATTGCTTGTCTTGGAAATATGTGCTGTGGATCATATTTCAAAGCCAAAACAGGCATAATGACTCTTCATTAAAGCAGTATTTTTTAAAGCATCATACCGTATACGTCTGACATGGTAACGAATTGAATGCAACCTGAAAAACGCACTGCACAATGAGGCAATGTCATAAGTGTAACCATGACTACCGCACTTCGACTCCTTAAGAGCTACTTTGGTTTTAATCAAATGTTCATTATGAGAGCATTCACTATTTTGTATTTATTAGACACGTACAGCTCAGGTGTCATGTAGAGAGTTAAACTGTAATAAATGTTGACAAATTAGATCAGACTCCAGCAGGATTATAAAACTGGTGTAACCCATTCTCATGAGTTTGTAGCAGGACTATTAAACAGGCCTCCCTCCAGCTCAACAGAAGATGCGCATCTTGGTTATCTCTTTCTTCCTGTCCTCAGGCGCTTTATCTTTATACTTTGACAAGAGGTCAGCTAATGACCCGTCAATATGAAGTGCCATATCTGAGAGAGCAAGCAGTCATTTTCTCCCCCATTTCCCACTTGTCTTTTCTCTCACACTTTTGATAGATGATCTCTCTTTGTGGAAAGTTTGAGACAGCTGCTTGTTTCTCTCTTCTTCTTTCTGTCTCTCAGAAGGGGGGCTGTGTGCATATCTCTGGACAGTTTCGGGTGGGTCAGGTGATTCTGGAGGTGAATGGCGTGTCGCTTAAAGGCATGGAGCACCGGGACGCAACTCGGGTCATTGCCGAGGCCTTTAAGACCAAAGACAAAGACTATGTCGACTTTTTGATCGCCGAGTTCAACTCTGCTCTGTAGAAGTTGTCTCTTGAGAGTTTTACTAGACGCCACTGTGAAGACTTTACGTCACGTCCACACAGAGCGGCTGAATGAGTCATGCTTGTCATATCTGAGTCACAGTTAGCTTAGAGTTCAAAAGCTGCAACACGCCCACCTTACGTCTGTGTTCTCGCTATAACAACGAGCAGCTGCCACACACCTTCACTGAACCTGTTCCTGGTATGTTCCAGTGGATGATCTGCAGAGCCAAGACTGTTGCTGATATGTTTGATATGACGAGACCAGGGTTATATTAAGTCTGTCAGATCTGTGCCATAAACACACACACACACACACACACACTACCGTTAAGTTTGGGGCCTGTATGATTTCTTGAAAGAAATCTCTTATGCTGTCTTATCTGTGTATATTTTAATATATTTTACTCCATATACAGCCACATACTTTAGTCTTTGTTGTTACATGATTCTTCAGAAATCATTCTAATATGCTAATTTGGTGCTCAAGAAACATTTCTTATTATCAATGTTGAAAACAGTTGTGCTGCTAAAATTTGTTTTGTGGAAATTGTGATGCATTGATACATGATCATTTTTTTCAGGATTCTTTGATAAATGAAAAGTTCAAAAGAACAGCATTTATTAGATTTTTTTAAATATGACCAATGATCAAGTCTATATTGTCACTTTTGATCAATTTTAATGAATCTTTGCTGAATAAAAGTATTAAGTAAAAAACGTACTGACCCCAAACTTGAATGGTAGAGTTGTGTATATATAATCAAATCATTCGTTTCATTTCTATTCATATTTATTATATAAAATATGAAAAAAATATATATTTATACAAAAATATATAAATATACAGATTTGCTATTACAGTTCTTAATCACATATAATTTTAATCATAATATCAAATGGCATAGTCATTGTTTTGGAGGCGTTTTTTTTACTCTTCCTTGATTCAAGAGGTGTTTAATATATTTTTTGATGAAAGGAACTGAATTCAGTGGAAGTAGTGAAATGAAGTGATATTAATACACTGTTGTAATATGTGAATGGAGATCAGAGTTATTCCTGGACAGACGGAGCGAGGAGGAGGATTCTAGAGTATCTCACTGTTTTCTCATTCTGTTTTTTCTTTTCTTTTCCTCTCTGTCTCTCTCACAGACACACAAAATCGGGCTGTTTTTTTTAAAGCTCTTATGTCAGTGTGCATACTTCAAAGAGAGGTTATAGAGAGGAATAATGAAGAAATGTACAGCAGTATTTTTTGAAGAGATCAGATGTTCAGTGTCTGAATTATATGTAAATGCATGGCTCCTGATTATGCAACATACAGAGAGAGTTATTGTACATAGGTAAAATAATGTAAAGCTGTATATATTTTATTTATGTAATATATTTTTTGCACATACTGTTGATATAATGTTTTCAATGACTGCATCAAAAACATTAAAACCCTTAAATATGAAACCACGACATCAATACTTAGAATAGTAACATAGAAGCATATTCGTTTTTCAACCCAAAGGATGTTGTTCCCTTCAGATATTTTATTCATATACCACATACCATTATGCAGATAGTCTGTCTTTAAGTTGATAAAGATCTGCTTTTTGTTAATTCGTTGCTTGTCATTTGTTGTACTTTGCAATGTGAAACACACATAATATTGTAACTTTACAGGAACTAAATGATCATAGGCTCATTACAGAACAACAGCATATAAAGACAGCGCACAATCTGAGGTTATCAATATTATGCCTGAAATATTTATGATTTATGCCAAACTGGAAAAGAGACTAAAATAAATATTTAAAGACTGAATTAAATGTCTGTAATTTATTGATATTTTTATTTCTTGGTTAAATCATATTGTTATCATTCAAAATGTGTTCATCTGGCTTTGTTTTCTGATGAAGCTGTGTTTTGGTGCCCTCATGTGTTCAAATGAAGCACATGGTTTTAATTTCAAAGGTTAGGAATGCTTGTAAGACCGTACTAAACTTAAATATATTATACCTATTAAATATATTATACCTCCACCCTATAATACCATATACTTTTTGCAATTAATTTGACTTTTCTGCAATAATGTAACACCATTCAAAGTCTTGTAGGTCATTTCAGATTTATATTTATTTTGAACATTATTATTTTTGAAGAGTTTGAAAATGTCTTTAAATAGATTGTTATAAAGAAAATGAGTCTGAATCAGTAGAGTTTTTTTTTTCTTTCTTCTGATTTGTCGCTCTTCATTTTTCTATTTCTTATATCAACATATCCAACTGTGTTGTATATATTAAAAGCACATTCAGATGCATCTGCCTCAAAAACAAATGAATAATATTATAACTGAACTAGTGTGTATTTTCTATCATATTATGAGAAATACCCTAATGTGTGATGTGCATGGCATGAAAAATGTCATAATCAGGAGATGTTTAACAAGCCAGTTTATTTTACTATATGCACAAGACAATAGTTTGCACTTCATAACCTCTGATGTGTTAAACATGTTAAATATATTTAAATATGGCATATAGATGATATATTTACACAGCATGAATGTGTATTCTTAGCGTAAATAAAAGATTTTGACATAAAAAGCAATCATTCTACATTACTACACAAGGAGCAGTCGAGATATACCAGCAAGGGAGGTTTTACTATATTAACAGGACTATATACAGGACTAGTAACTATTACAAACCACAATATTAAAATAACACGAAGCAGTTGATATTCACAATGGGACATCCAGTATTAAGTTGATCACGCAACAGACACACATCATGCTTGGCAGACACTGCATGGCAGGTCAAACTACTGATTCCATTCAAAATAACTTTACAAAAGAGGAAACTGGAGTCTCAAACTCAATTTACTATGCTGTGTTCAAATAATCTTCTCTTATTATTTTATCTACCTATGAAGTACACTCTCAAGTCGACTGGTCCCATAATACCAACAATGGAGAATGACACCTAAATAATTCCTTATATTTCATAATGATCTTTGATGTAATCTGAGGTTAATATTAAGGTGATTATAAATGTAACCGAGGCTATTTATGTAATATACTTCACTATAGCCTATTGCTGACAAGGGATATATTGTACGGGTGTGTAAGTTAAGAAAAAAATCAGTCTTAGTAGCAACATGTTACTGATGACATCAGAATAGTGAGTCAGGGCAATGACATCACATTCTAAAAGGAAAGAAAGAATCAAATTGGATTCATGTTATAGTAAATGAAAAGCTATCTACATAATGCCTCTTTATTAAAAGTGTTAAATGTGATGATAAAAATGTCAGCAGATTTTTTTATTGAAGCAATAGTGTCCTTAAAAATGCCTTTAAAATAAATCCAATTTAATCCATTTAAAATGACAAAGGTCTGACCTTTTTTCTTGTTTTCATCACTTATCTTCTGCAGGAAGCTGGTCCTCGGGGGCCGCGTTGGGGTCCAGGAAGTCTTGGTGCTGCAGATGCTTCAGGTACTTAACAGGAGTGATGATGTGAGAGGAGCCTGTGAGGGAAGTCAGAAACATGATCAGGGCTTTTATTGGGACCAAAGAAAAAAAAAAGGAAAACCATTAACTCGCATTGTGGGGGTGGTTGAATGCAGTTCACTAACCACAGATATACAATGATCAGTAAACACTTATCTTTTCTGTCACTTACTGCAGTGTATATTCATTGTCAAGGCAAATGACAATGTTTTTATAACCATAACCCATGTGTCCCACAGCAGAATGCTTTTGATGCTCAATAATTTATATTTGCATTTACATTTACATTTAGTCATTTAGCAGATGCTTTTATGCAAAGCGACTTACAAATGAGGACAATGGAAGCAATCAAAATCAACAAAAGAGCAATGCTATACAAGTTACATAATGCCTCTTTATTAAAAGTGTTAAATGTGATGATAAAAATGTCAGCAGATTTTTTTATTGAAGCAATAGTGTCCTTAAAAATGCCTTTAAAATAAATCCAATTTAATCCATTTAAAATGACAAAGGTCTGACCTTTTTTCTTGTTTTCATCACTTATCTTCTGCAGGAAGCTGGTCCTCGGGGGCCGCGTTGGGGTCCAGGAAGTCTTGGTGCTGCAGATGCTTCAGGTACTTAACAGGAGTGATGATGTGAGAGGAGCCTGTGAGGGAAGTCAGAAACATGATCAGGGCTTTTATTGGGACCAAAGAAAAAAAAAAGGAAAACCATTAACTCGCATTGTGGGGGTGGTTGAATGCAGTTCACTAACCACAGATATACAATGATCAGTAAACACTTATCTTTTCTGTCACTTACTGCAGTGTATATTCATTGTCAAGGCAAATGACAATGTTTTTATAACCATAACCCATGTGTCCCACAGCAGAATGCTTTTGATGCTCAATAATTTATATTTGCATTTACATTTACATTTAGTCATTTAGCAGATGCTTTTATGCAAAGCGACTTACAAATGAGGACAATGGAAGCAATCAAAATCAACAAAAGAGCAATGCTATACAAGTGCTATAACAAGTATCAGTTAGCTTAACACAGTACACGTAGCAAGGGTTTTTTTAAATTATATAATAAATAAAAAGAAAACCGATAGAATAGAAAAAGAATAGAGCAAGCTAGTGTTAGAGGTCTTTTTTGCTTTTGTTAATAGTATAATAAATAAAAAGGAAACAGATAGAATACAAAAAGATTAGAAAGCTAGTGTTGTTTTTTAAAGAAAACAAGCAGCAAATGAAGAGTGCAAGTCTAAAAGGGACAAGTATTTTTTTATTTAGAATAGAATTAGAATAGAGAGTGTTAGAGTTAGCACTCTAACTCTGACTTTAGGTCAGAAAAAAAATATACGCTATTGTTAAAAAGTTTGGGACTGTAAGATGTTTGAATGATTTTGAAAGAAGACTGTTGTGCTAACCAAGGCTGCATTAATTTGATTAAAAAAAATAAATAAATAATAAAAACAGGAATATTGTGAAATGTTGTTACTGATATTGTAAAATAATTGTTTGCTATTTTAATATATTTTTTAATGTAATATATTTCTGTTAAGTCAACGTCTTCAGTGTCACATGATCCTTCAGAAATCATTCTAATATGTTGATTTGGTCCTTAAAGGGGTCATATGATGCTTTTTTAAAGATCATTATTTGGTGTAACAGAATATGTTGACATGCTTTAATGATCAAATACTGTACATTATTGTAGGTCCTCTATGCCCCGCCTCTCTCAAACGCTTTGTTTTCTTCAAAGTCCCTCCTTTCGACAAGCGCAGTCTGCTCTGATTGGCCAGCTGACCCAGTGCATTGTGATTGGCCGAACACCGAGTCGGAAATGTAACGCCCCTTACCATAATCGCGAGCTTCATCTTTCAAAATAAATGTAAAGACAGAGCCCGAAAGGGGAACAGAGTCGCGTGACAGACACAGTAATGAAGCTGGTATGTGTTTGCAGTACACAAGCCACGGTTAAGACAGCTGACTCCACTGTGATGT